TCATAATAATATTTCACAATATTAAATTTTTTCCTGTATTTTTGATCAAATAAATGCAGCCTTGATGCGCATAAGAACTCCTGTAAAAAACATTAAAAATCGTTCTGATCCCAATCTTTTCACCGGTAGTGTACATACAAGCAATATGGCTTAGTGCGATTATAAAATCACAAAAGCTGTGATTTAATTAAATAAATACAGGCACTGCGTGTTTTCTCTGTTGTCAACAAAAGAGAAGCTTTAAGGGCTCCCTGTGGTTTGCTACCGAAATTAAACCACTAGGTTTTAACATTTTAAAGTTTAGAAATTAAGATAAATATAAGTATTGCAATTTTACAGGAAATATTACAACAGTGATATTTCAGATTTAGTTATTTAGTAATAACCACTAAATTTATACTTATTACCACTTACCACTTATTTAATAATAGACCACTAAGCAAACTGCAATCGCATTTTTATTAGTAAAATCACAGTTTGCCCTTGTTAATACTCTTATACCTCAATACAGCAGTGACGCACCTCAGCGGGCGGCAGCGGTCTGGGATGGGTTGGTTTGGTTCTCATTTGGTTCAGTAGGTCGATCATCACGGCTAACCTCCTCTCGTACTCCATCACCTCCTCCTCAGAGCTGCTCAACAGCTGCTTCTGCAGCTCCTGGTCCTTCTGCATCCCGCTCAGACCCTCCTCCAGCTCCTTCAGCTTCTCCGTCAGCAGGCTCGTCTTCCCTGCGGAGGCTGCCTGCGCCGTGAGGCCCTCTGAGTGCAGCTGCGCGCTGGGGCCCATGGCTTCTCCTGCGCGGAGCTCTTTGGTTTGCGTCTGGACGGCTTCCAGTTGTGCTTGGCTGACCAGAACGGCGGCCACCTTCTCCCTGAGTTCCTCCTCCAGCTGAGCCACTTTAGCGCTAAGAGCGACGGCGTCCGTTTGCACTTGTTCCAGCTTCAACCTGCATTAATGTGAATTCTGTCAGCTGTTTTGTAATTCAGTCTTAAGCCCCGTTCACAACAAGGACGATAACTATAAAGATAACGATAAAGGCAGAGAAACGATATCGTTGGAATCACTTCCAGAACTATTTTTTTCAATGAACGAGAAAAACATTGACAGCCAATCAGAATCCATCCTGCTATAATGAGCTTGAGAATTTAAAGCGGCAGACGCGCGTGCGCTTGGAATAAACAGACGATATCGTTCGCTGGTGTGGACGCTAATATCGTTATCTTTATAGTGTGAACGGGGCTTTAGTCCTGTGTCAAATGCCCTTTTTTGGTCAGCCTGTCCTATTTGTGGTTTAGTCAAGTCTTAGTCTGGGAATTTTAGTCTAGTTGTCGTCAATTAAAACTTAAGTCATATTTTAGTCCTGCTGCATAATGATTAAACTGATAATCAATTATTTTGCTCAAAATTATAATCGCAATTACTGATCATTGTTGTTGTCTTTTGCATAATTGGGGGATTTAAACGGTTGAAATCTGGCAACCGCAAGCATGAAAACTCGTGGAGGCCTAAATCTTTTCTCCTCTTTTTTTGTTGAAGAAAACAGAGAATATTTTTGAATATAGAGAGTTTTTGTTTTTTAAATTACATTTTACTTTTTCGTCAATGAAATTGCATGTTGTGTTTAACAATGTCGGTGTCGTCTCGGGGGAAAAAAAGTCGTCACAGAATATTTTGGTCATTGTTTTCTTCAACGAAATTAACAGTAGATAAGGGGATTTAAACTCTTTAAATCTGGCAACCGCAACCATGAAAACTTATGGAGGTCTATATTTTTTCTACTTTTTGGTGACGAATATAAAGAGAAATTTTAGATATACAGATTTCTTATTTTTTACTACATTTTAGTCATGTCTTTTTTCCGTCAATGATATTGCATGTTGATATAATCATAGTTAGTGTTTAATGATGTCATCTTTATTAAACAATGATTTTAACAAAAATAACACTAAGTACACCGTTGAAATCTGGCAACCGCAAGCATGAAAACTCGTGGAGGTGTAAATTTTTTTGCAGAATATATAGAGAAATTTTGGATATAGGGAGTTTATTTTTTAAACTACATTTTATCATCATAAATATTACATATTGATATAGTCACATTTAGTGTTTAATGATGTTGGTGTCGTCTCGTGTTTGTCTCGTCTTAGTCATAAATGTCATCAACTAATATTTTTCATCATTGTTTGCATTAAAAATGAACACTAGATAGGGAGACTAAAACTCTTGACATCTGGCAACCCCAATCATGTCTGTCATGATCATGATGTCTGTCGCCTTGTATTTGTCTCATTTTAGTCATAAAAAAGGTTGTCAACTAATATTTTTCGTCACTGTTTTTGTTAACAAAATGAACACTAGGGGGATTTAAACTGACATCTGGCAACCCCAAACATGCAAACTCGTGTAGATCTAGATTAACAGACTTAACATTAGATGGGGGATTTAAACTCTTGACATCTGGCAACAGCAAGCATGAAAACTCGCAGAGATTTAAACTTTTGAAATCTTGTAACCCCAATCATGCAAACTCATGGAGGTCTGGATTTTTTCTCCTCTTTTATGTTGAAGAAAATACAGAGAAATTTTGGATATAGAGAGTTTTTGCTCCTCCATAAAAGCCCAATTTCACGTGCAAATCAGTAAAATCATGTAACGTGACTTTGTGCTTGATTTATCAAAGTTTATTAGATTTATTCATGTTTTTAAAGTAAGTAAAGTCAACTTTTAGCTTAAGGTCGCGCCTAAATGGTCAAATACACGCAAAAATGTGTCAAAATGCAGCGCTTGGTGATTATTATTCACGTAAACCCTCATCCGTTATGTCTTAAGTGAACGTAAACAGTTGAGAATGAAAATACGTGTGTAACAGTAAATTTGATCAATGCGGCTCTTAAAGTGACAGCAGCCTAATATTCCTGGCTGCTGACTGTGTGTTTCATATTAATAGAACAACAAAAGACAGAGAGAAAATCACTCACTGCTCTTGACTGAAGAACTTTTGTAGATTTAGTAAGAAACAAAGGAAGTTTAATTCTTACAGTGAAGACTATGCTGTTTTATTTTACATTCAGTTATTCCACAATAGACTGTTAGCTGAATACTTTAGACTTGCACAGTTTGTTTCATTTTTATCTTTTTTTCTATTGGATTTGTCTTTTGCTTTTTTTAAATTTTTATTACTGACTGTTTAATTATTTTTTGAGGACTTTTTGTTTTTTACTAATATTAGTTACCCTAGTATTCTGCTGTGGTGTTGAGAATTGTGAAATTTCTCTAAATGTCTCTAAAATGTAGATGTCATAGCAACCTTATTTAAAGAAAATAGATATTTGATATCACTATCTTTAAATAAATTTATTCATGTTTTTAAAGTAAGTAAAGTCAACTTTTAGCTTAAGGTCGCGCCTAAATGGTCAAATACACGCAAAAATGTGTCAAAATGCAGCGCTTGGTGATTATTATTCACGTAAACCCTCATCCGTTATGTCTTAAGTGAACGTAAACAGTTGAGAATGAAAATACGTGTGTAACAGTAAATTTGATCAATGCGGCTCTTAAAGTGACAGCAGCCTAATATTCCTGGCTGCTGACTGTGTGTTTCATATTAATAGAACAACAAAAGACAGAGAGAAAATCACTCACTGCTCTTGACTGAAGAACTTTTGTAGATTTAGTAAGAAACAAAGGAAGTTTAATTCTTACAGTGAAGACTATGCTGTTTTATTTTACATTCAGTTATTCCATAATAGACTGTTAGCTGAATACTTTAGACTTGCACAGTTTGTTTCATTTGTATCTTTTTTTCTATTGGATTTGTCTTTTGCTTTTTAAAAATTTTTATTACTGACTGTTTAATTATTTTTTGAGGACTTTTTGTTTTTTACTAATATTAGCTACCCTAGTATTCTGCTGTGGTGTTGAGAATTGTGAAATTTCTCTAAATGTCTCTAAAATGTAGATGTCATAGCAACCTTATTTAAAGAAAATAGATATTTGATATCACTATCTTTAAATAAATCACTCGTATAAAGGTTTGGTCATGTGGCCCACTCATAATCGTGCTTACAATATTTACCAAAATAATCGTGATTATGATTTTTGCCATAATCGAGCAGCCCTAGTCTGTCGCCTCACTTTCGTCTAATTTTAGTCATAAAAAGGTCATCAGCTAATATTTTTCGTCATTGTTTTTGTTAAAATTAACACAAGATAGGGGGATTTAAACTGACATCTGGCAACCCTAAGCATGTAAACTCATGCAGGTCTGGATTTTTTCTCTTTTTTAATGCTGAAGAAAATAGAGAAATTTTGGATATAGAGAGTTTAATCACTCGTCAGTAATATTGCATGTTTATATAGTCAGAGTTAGTGTTTAATGATGTCCGTCGCCTCGTTTTCGTCTCGTTTTAGTCATAAAAAAGGTCGTCAACTAATATTTTTCGTCATTGTTTTTGTTCAAATTAACACTAGACGGGGATTTAAACTGACATCTGGCAACCCTAAACATGCAAACTCGTGCCGGTCTGGATTTTTTTTCTCCACTATCTTATTGAAAAAAATTTGTAGAAATTTTGTATGTAGAGTTTTTATTTTTTAAACTACATTTTAGTCACGTCTTTTTTCGTCAATGACATTGCATGTTGATATAATCATAGTCATTGTTTAATTATGTCTGTCCCCTTGTTTTTGTCTCGTTTCTGTCTCATTTTAGTCATAAAAAAGGTCATCAATGAATATTTTCACCATAGTTTACATTAACGAACTTAACATTAGATGGGGGGGTTTACTGACATCTGGCAACCCCAAGCATGAAAACTCACGCAGGTCTGGATTTTTTTCTCCTCTTTTATGTTGAAGAAAATACAAAGAAATTTTAGATATAGAGTTTAATCACTCGTCAGTGATAATGCATGCTGATATAGTCAGTGTTTAATGACGTCAGTGTTGTCATCTCAGTCATAAAAAGCTTGTCAAGGAATATTTTCCGTCATAGTTTTGGTTAATGAGAAGAAAACTCACCTGCACGCGCGCAGCTCCGAGTCCTTCTCCTCCACGCGCCTACTCAAGCTCATGACCTGTGACCCTGCGCTCTCCTCCAGCGCCTGCACCTGAGCCTGGAGCACCACAAACGCAGCGGTCTTCTCCCGCAGAGCCTCCTCTAGATCCCCTTGCAGACGCTCGTATCGGCTCTGCAGCAAGCGGTGGGCAGACTTCAGCTCGTCCATCCTCTGCTTCATCTCGTCGCTCTCGTCCTGCGGCTGCTTGTGCTCGATGAGCGACAGCTCCTGCTGGAGCTTCTCGATGACGGCGTTGAGCTGCTCCACCTCCTCCTCGCTGTTCCTCTTCAGACGCTCCTGCTCGCTCCGGAGACACTCCACCTGCGCCTCCAGCTCACGCAGAACCTCGTCCTTCTCCTCCACCACCTGCAGACCAACACATGAGCTCAGAGAAGAGTCGTCTCTCGTTCCCTTTGGGTTCAATCTTCAATCCTTCACCCAAATCAATTAGCATGTTGTTCAAACCCAGTATTATTTCACAAAGAAGATATTTTGTCAAATGTCTGAGCTGCTGTTTCTCATGCAATTAAAGCTGATGGCGCTTTTTACTACCAAGATTCAAAACCAAAACCAAAAAGCAATGTTAAATGCAGTGATGCAAAACATTTTTTTTTTAACGAAACTGAAATGAAATCAAATTTATTTTTCCTGGATTCCTTTTTAAATAGTTAAATAAAAATTTTGCAATAAAAAAGCAATTGAATTTATGAAATTTACAATTTAACAATTTATTAAAAATGTAAAAAAAATTAAATTTTTAGAGCCCTATTAAAATCTTTTTTATTATATTTATTTTATTTAGTTTATTTTTTACAAATTTTTCCCCAAAATTCTGTTGTATTTTTATTTTATGACATTTTATTTTTTCCCCAAATTAGATTTTATTTATCCCCAATTCTTTTTACATTTTAATTCCATTTTTAATGATTTAATTACATTTTGATAATCAAAAAACATGTTTAAAAAATGTAATTTAATCTTTACAAATTTAATAATTTATTTATTTTTACAATAACCTGTTTTTAAAATTATATTAAATTGCCCTATGAAGTGTTTTATTATTTATTTATTTAATTTTTTTCAGAAATTTCAAACAATTTAATTAACCCTTTAAAATGTAATCACATGAAAATGTAACAATTCCTTCTTTTTTTTTTTTGGCAAACAAAGTACTGCACAACAGAGGCTTACTGTTCAAATTAAAACATGGAAAACAATTTTTTTTTGGGATGCTGAAATATCTGTGCGTCGCTAATTAAATATTCCATATATATTTATATTCCATTCCTCTGAATAACTGAAGAGTTCATGGTTCATTGATCACGATAGAGCACGAGTCGTATGAATTATTATGGTATCAGCAGTATAAAACTCTACAAACTTTCATCGCATGAAAAACAGAAGCTTAGACATTCTTTGCATTTCATTAAAAAAAGGTTGGAACAACATGAGCATGCTTGATCAATGATGACAAAATATTTATTTTTGACGATGCATTCTTTTAAAAAACTGAATGCACGTTTGGCCTTGGTCAAAATCACAGGTAATCTGAACGGTGTTCACTCGCCACAAAAGACTGTAAGATTTAGCAATTTGAGGCACTTTCATTTAGCCACAAAAACACCCTTTGACTCAGATACATCAGTGTTGCAATAAATTCCTCAAGGAATATTTTATGCAAATATAAATATTCTGTCATCATCGACCCGTATGGCTTTTTCAGGGAACTAAAAGAAGACGTGTTAGTAAACTGGCTGCTCTCTTTCATACAGTGACCGATCTGAGATCTGAGTTAAAGAAGAGACAGAGCATGACAGGGTTTTTATAATTAACTAAAACTAAAACCTAAAAAAAAAAAACACACTGTAACTAAAATTAAATTGGAAACTACAAAAATAAACTAAAAATATTAATTAAAAAATTATATATCAATGATACTAAAATAACTCTGAAGCACGAGTTATATGGACTATTTTATAATAATATTATGGCACTTTCATGTCATTTTGACAGCGTCTGCCTCCATTCACTTCCACTGTATGGAAAAAAGCAGCGTGAACATTCTGCTAAACATCTCATTTCATTTTCCACAGACAAAATATGAGTTTTGGGTGAGTAATTTTGGTTGAACTATCCCTTTTACCAGGAGGGTGTGAGATGATTGAAAGTAAAACACACTGCAGAACAAACACCAAACCACATCAAAACAATGAGCTGAATGAATCCACAGGATCTGAGACAGGCGTTTCCATTCAATCAAAAGACGGACGAACCTGTTTGCACGGAATAACAGCAAATACATCCAGTTTAAAGAATGCAATCCGTTGTTTATCATGCAGCGAATCAGCAGTAACTCATTATGAAGTCTTTGCACTCTTTAAACCCAAGCTGATGTGTTTTGCCATTTGTGTCCCTGTTGCTAAAAATAAGATGCAAACACAAGATGGCAAAAGACATCACACTCTCTCTCACACACACACACACACACACGGGTTTCCTGCTATATGCATATGTGTGTCACACGCTGACAGCCGCCGTGTGTCCACACATATGTATACAACTTTACCTCTGTCTTAGGGTCTGTTCCCGTGCGCTGACACTTAGCGAGCTGCTCGTTAAGGACGGCTATCTGCCTGTCCTTCTCCTCCAAGACCTTCAAGAGTTAAACATCATCACATGACTCTGAATTTAGGGCAGTCCTGTCTGCGGCAAGGACTCAGATCTCGGTTTGACACTCAAACTCTCAGATTCATATTCAAGTCAACAAGAACTCAAAACATGAGTCTTAATGTGAATGATTCATCAGTGCGTGTTATAAAGAAAAACGTCTGCCTTCGTAATCTGCAAAAAACGACTGTTTTACTTTTCAAATATGTAAATATTCTTAAATTAAAATGCATTTACTCGAGAAGGAAAATTACATAATATATTAAGTCTTGTTTAATGTTTTAAAATTAAGCAAATTTATGAGGTCAGAAAAATAATCTTGTTTTCCCATTGAATTAAGTTTATTTTTCTGACCCCACTGCCAGTTATTTTTTCTTGTAAACTGTATTTTGGATTTTTTTTTAAACTGCAAACGTTTCATGTTGACTTCGATAAAACATTAACTTGTTTACACATGTACATACATATATAAATAAACATATAGATCAGACAGACAGACAGTATGAGATGTGCACTGCAAAAAATTATTTTATTACTTTGTATTTTTGTCTTGTTTTCCAGTACAAATATCTACATCAAGATGCATTAACTTACTAAGTTTTATTTATATATATATATATATATATATTATTAAATCAAAATTAAGTGTTTGTGCTTAAAACAAGACCAAATATCTGTAAAAGGGGCCAGAAAAATAATTTAAAAAAATTATAAACTGAACGAACTTGAAAAATACAAATTAAATACTGCAATTAATAAAATAAACTAGTTTTATCGTTCAATTAAGTTTATTTTTATGGCCCCATAGGCAGATATTTATTCTTGTTTTGAGCAATATTTAAAATGTCACGTAATTTTGCTTTTTATGTGTGTTTAAATATTTGTATTGGAAAACAAGACAAAAATACTAAACAAGAAAATATTTTGCAATGCCACGACTGCAGTAAAGAATGGGTTTTGCTCTGAAAGTGACATTAATAAATACACATTAATACATACATTTGACCTAAATCTAAGTGACACTGAACATTACAGACTATAGATAACTATAACGTTTTTAACTGTAAGAAATAACCCACATCACAATTGTTAACGATAACACCAAAGTTATGAACGATAAAAACACTGACAGCCAATCAGAATCTAGAGCATTTAAAGAGACGGACGACAAAACGGCGCTTATAACAATCAGAACGTTGCTGTAGATGCTAATATAGTGACTGTACTTGATGTGACTGGGCCATTAGACAAACACAGAAGACACAGCAGCTGAAGTGTGAGAGCGAGCGGACCTGAGCGAGCCGGGCCTGAGCCTGCAGATCCTGCTGATGACTGCTGATCTCCTTCCTCTGGATCTCCAGCTGCATGTGGAGCTGATGCACCTCCTCGCTCTTGTTCTCCAGATCCTCACGAAACTGCTCCAGCTGCTCCTCCAGATTCACGATCTGCGCACGCAAACGGCACTGTTACAAGTGCTGAAAACTTCATTTGTTAAAGGGGTCATCGGATGCCTATTTGATATAGGTTGATAGTAGGGCTGCACAATTAATCGAATTTCTAATCGCGATTACAATTACGGATGCCACAATTATGTAATCGTTCAAAGCGGCAATTAATCGTCCAATTATGTTATTCTGCGCGCTTAAGATGCGTTTTTTTCTTTCTACATGTTATCTTAAGGGTTTTTCCCATTATTTTAGTTTTAGTTTTAGTATAACATTATACCACCATTCGAATTTTAAGTAAAAATACGGCATGCAGTTGCATCAAACAATGGTATAAACATCATTCAATGTAAATTGTGATAATTGTAATTAATAATCGCAATTACAATTTCAAGGGAATAATCGACAATTGTGATTTTTGTCAATCGTGCAGAGCCCTAGTTGATATGATTCTTAATGAAAAGTCTAAAACATACTTTGGTTAAAGTGTCTCAATGGTAGTGTAAAAAACACCTTGTATCCTGTATCCTTTCATATCAAAGCGCGAAATAAACTACGTGCATGCAATGTCGTGGTCAGTTAAGTCATGAAGTTACCAAAAATGCATGCATGTAATATATTTTATATGAGACACATTTTTTGTTAAAATTGATAGCTCTCAATTATACTGTAATGTTGAATGGCTAGTCAATGGTTAAATATTAGGGGGGGGGTTATAGAGAAATCAGTAGTATTGGTATCATTGATATTGGCCTTCAGTCATAAAAAAAAGATGCCATTAAACAAAAAACAAAACAAAAAATATACTGTCTTTATGTTGTTTGTACATTAATTTGAAGACTGAATGTGAAATTATTGCAATATAAAAGTATATTTAAAAACTTTAATGTTAGGTGGGATTAATTGCGAATAATTTCAGAAAAATGTGCGATTAATTAGTTATTTTTTTTAATCGATTGACAGCACTAGTTAAGAAATATCACAATTTTCCTTCCATGTTTTACTTTCAATAGTAGAACATGAGCAGCACAAGCTTTCAATTTTTACATGTAAATTTTTAAAAGATTTGCTACTGTTTTATGCCTTCATTTGATTACCACCGTTTTTGATAATACATTTGTATTAAATCATACATCCAGAAACAGACAACAAATAATTTCTGAAAAAATAAACCATTTCATAAGGCCCTATTACTGTAAAACAAAATGTAATAAATTATTTTATTGTCAAAGCCTTATGAATTTAATTTATTAGACATGCGTTTTGGTTATAAATGGAAATAAAACAGAATTATTACAGATTTCATAGAGACTTAAAAAAATATATATTTTTTTTATTACTTTTAATGAATTGTTGTGAAATTGTATAAGTTTTATAATTTCAATTAATTAGACACACTTTCTGATTGCTACTAAATTAAATTTAACCATTAGAATGAAATCCAGAAAAATTGAAACAGAAAAAAAAAAAATGAAATTGGGGGGAAAAATATGGAATTTTTAGTTTTCAAAAACCTACATTTTAGTTTTATTAAACTTTTAATAAATTGTATGTTTCATGATTTATGATGCTTTTTCATCACTAAACTTTAATTTGACCATTAAAACAGAATGCAGAAAAATTTAAACTGGGAAAAAAAACATGCAATCCAGAAAGAACAAAAAAAGATTTGAGGGGGGAAAAAAACTGATTTTATAGAAAAATTAAAAATTTAATTTTTGTTAAACATTCTTTTTGTTAGATTCTTGTTTAATTTATTTAAGTTAATTAGATGTGCTTTCTGCTTACTAAAGATTTTTAGATGTTACTAAAGAAAAATTAAAACGGGGACAAAAATGGAATCCAGAAAAAAAAAAGTGAAAAAAAAAAAAATCCACACAGAAACTGATTTTTGCCCATAACCTATTTGACGATTTTACAGTGATGTTCTACACTACCCATAATAGTCGCTGTTACCATTGAAACGGGAGTCGTCTCCACAATGAAGAGGTTTATCAGGCTCGCGGAGGAGACATTAGCAAGTAGCGTAACACGAGTTAACACTGGATGCTTTCTGACACAAAAATACTGTTTTTAGGCTTTTTTTGTTCAAGGCTTACAGTTCTACACTGAAGAGTTTACTTTGAGCTCCCTCTAAAGAAATGAGAGTGATGAGCATGATGTTAAGTCATAAAACCAGTTCTACTGTGTAATGCATGGAGTTGCTGGGTGCTCATAATGGGTAAGGTGACAGGAAGTACCTCTTTCTCCTTCCTGTCCAGAGCCTCTCTCTCTGTCTGCAGCTGTGCTTCCAGTGTGACGTCTCCTCTGCCCTCCATAGACACATGCTGGACCTCCTCAACCTGCACACAACAACACACACATGAAACACACAAATACACACACACACACACACACACACAGCTGGCTGGTTGTAAACAAGTAAATATCCCCTAACAAACGCATCCAATCAGCATCAGCAGACTCCAAGACCAGCGGAATTATATAGGCTTCTGCGAGAACAATCACCTGTTTAGTCGTCCACTTAATATTTAGAAAAATTATAGTATATTATAAAAATTATATATTTATAGTGTTGCAGTTCACAGTTAGAACCAGCACCCAGCTATACATAACAACAACAACAAAATAATAATAATAACATTCAAAATAAAAAAAGTTGAAATACAAAATAATAATAATTATAAATAATAATAATAATACAATATAAATATTTAAAATAAAAAAGTTGAATGACAAAATAAAAATAATAATAATGGTAATAATAATCTTAATATTCAAAATGTCTAAAAACAAAATATTAATAGAAATAATAATATAAAAAAATGCTGAATGACAAAATAACAAAATTCATAAAAAATTGAACAAGAAAATAATAATAATGATAGCAAAGGTAATAATATTAATATTCAAAATAAAATGTCTGACAACAAAATAATGATAATAACTGAAAAAAATATATTCAAAAACGTTGAAAGACAAAATAATAATATTCAAAATATAAAAGTTGAATATAAATCATAATAACAGTGATAATTGTCAATATAAAAAATAAAACGGTCTAATGACATAATAAAAATAGAAGTAATCAAAATAAAAAGTTGAATTTAAAAAATAATAAAAATAACAATAACAATAAAAAATATTAAAAATGTAAAAAACATTGAAAGACAAAAAAAACAATATTCAAAAGAATAAGTTTAATTACAAAATAATTATAATAATAAATATCATTCATTTATTTGTATATTACCTTTTTATAGCTCAAGGTCACATAAATAGCAATGTGAAAAACAAAATTTTTTCCAAATCGTGGCTTTAGCATGTTGAGCTGTGCTGTGGCTGCCAGAAACACGCTAAAAATATTCAAGATAAAAAACAGTATCTAGATAAACTCACTTCTAAGACAACCATGACCCATCCATACTGCACATCTATTGATTCAATGTTAAATTAGACACACACACACACACACACACACACACACAGAGATCTCACTGACACACGAGCCTAACAACCCACACGCACAGAAACAGAACATGATCATTAAAGCGGAGACGTGATGCTGAGCACTGCATCCACACACACACACACACACACACTCTCAGCTAGCAGCATTAGCTCTGCATCACGAGCAGAAACACACACACTGACCCTGTGCATGAGCGTGTGCTCCAGCTCCCTCACACGCGCTCCCAGCGTCTCGATCTCCTCGTCTCTCTCACACACATCTCTCTGCAGCTGCTCCGAGCTCAACCGCAGCTCACTGCACCAGTCTGCCTTCTGCTGCAGCGCCGCGCTCAGCTCCTGCACCTGAGACACACACCCGAAGACACGACGTCAGAGAGTGACTTATCGCAATTATTTCTGGGGCAATATATCACACAACAAAAAGCTGTTATCGTGACAGGCCTATGTGTGAGTGTGTGTGAGAGTGAGTGAGTGAGTGTGTGAGTGAGTGAGTGAGAGAGAGAGAGTGTGTGAGTGTGTGTGTGAGTGAGTGAGAGAGAGAGAGTGTGTGTGTGAGTGAGTGTGTGAGTGAGAGTGTGTGTGTGTGTGAGTGAGAGAGAGAGAGTGTGTGAGTGAGTAAGTGAGTGTGTCTGTGTGTGTGTGTTATATATATATATATCAGTGGTATTTTTGCATTTTTAAGATACTGTTATATTTTTTATTCATAGTTTGAATTAGTTTTGATTTTTAGATTTTCCATTTTCATTTAAATGTTTAGTCTTTGTATATTTTATTATGTCTATATAGTTTTTAATATATATTTTTTCATTTTAGTTTCTTTGGTTATTTTAGTACATCAGTGAAAATGAGAAATGTTTCCTTGACAACAAGCTGAAATAAAAAATATAATTTAAATATTTCATTTTTATTATATTCAGCGTTTATTATATGTTTTTTTTACGGTTTAAGTTTTAGTTATAAAACTGAAATAAAAAATAAAAAATAAAAAATAAATATAATTAAAATAAATAATAACCCTGATATATATAGTAATAATAATAATTATTATTATTACTATAAACATTATTTATATTATATTATTTTATGAACAAAGTCTGTGCTTTGCAGCCAAGTTATGCACAAATAAAAGGAGAAAAATGACTATTTCACTGAGGACAGTAAAATGACAATCAGTCTTATGAACATCCAAACACAAATCAGACTTTGCAATTTTATAAAGGTAAAACACATGAAAATATTTTATATAGTAGACGAGACGGGCATGTCTGAAGTCAGAAGGCTCCGGGTCGCACCTCTCTGTCCCGCCGGCCACTTCCTGTCTGTGTTTTGGCGGGATTCTTCAGCTGCTGCTCCAGGTTGTGAATCTCCTGCTGAAAGACGTCTCGCTCGTGCTCGCGGTCCACCGCCTGCTCCTGATGGACAGAGGGACAGAAACACTCGGACGATTAGCACGCTGCCACACTAAATATAGTAATAATAATAATTATTATTATTACTATAAACATTATTTATATTATATTATTTTATGAACAAAGTCTGTGCTTTGCAGCCAAGTTATGCACAAATAAAAGGAGAAAAATGACTGGCCTATTTCACTGAGGACAGTAAAATGACAATCAGTCTCATGAACATCCAAACACAAATCAGACTTTGCAATTCTATAAAGGTAAAACACATGAAAATATTTTATATAGTAGACGAGACGGGCATGTCTGAAGTCAGAAGGCTCCGGGTCGCACCTCTCTGTCCCGCCGGCCACTTCCTGTCTGTGTTTTGGCGGGATTCTTCAGCTGCTGCTCCAGGTTGTGAATCTCCTGCTGAAAGACGTCTCGCTCGTGCTCGCGGTCCACCGCCTGCTCCTGATGGACAGAGGGACAGAAACACTCGGACGATTAGCACGCTGCCACACTAAACCAGATAAAAACATCTGCGAAGCTTCATCAGTTCAATACAATACTGTTGTCTGCTGTGCAGTTAATGAACGTGGAAGTGATGAGATTAATCGCTTTTTGCTTTTATCACATCATTATGGAAGCTTATTTCTGCGATGGAATAAAAAAATTTAAATTAAAAAGGCAATTTTGACTTCTCACAACTCTGACTTTCCCCCCGCAATTCTGAGTTTATATTTCACAATTCAGACTGAGAAAAGAAGTCAAAATTGCAAGATATAAACTCAGAATTATAAGAAAAAAGTTAGAATTGCAAGAAAAAAGTCAGAATTGCAAAAAAAAAAAAAAGTCAAAATTACGAGAAAAAGTCAAAACTTTGAGAAAAAACTGAATTACGAGAATAAAGTCTGAATTGCGGGGAAAAAGTCAGAATTACGAGAAAACTCAGAATTGCGCAACAAACTCAGAATTGCGAGAAAAAAGAAAAAATTATGAGAAAAAACAGAATTGCGAGAAAAAGTCTGAATTGCGGGAAAAAAGTCAGAATTACGAGAAAACTCAGAATTGC